ATTGATGAACTAAGAGAGGCGCATCAAACAAAGGATAGAGAGTTACGGTGATGATTGATTAAAATAATATAGTGAAGTAAACAAAGGCTTTTGGATGTTTTAACAAATAAGTTAAGAGAGGCGCAGCAAACAAAGGGTTTCTGATGGCTGAAATAAAAAACGGGAGAAAGAATTGTAAAGGTGATGGTTTAACAAAATAATATAATGAAGATGATGTAAGATGATAGAAGGTATGGAAGATGATGGAAGGTTTGGTTTAATGATGGAAGAGATGGTAGATGATAGAAGGTATTGCTTTAGAAAAAAAACGTGGAAAGATAGCATGGAATGTGAAAATTGAAAGAATGTAGATGATAGAAGGTATTGCTTTAGAAAAAAAAACGTGGAAAGATAGCATGGATTGTGAAAATAGAAAGAATGGAAATGGGGCCAAACCTGGAGTAACCTTTAACCATTGTAAAGTTTCACTTTTGAATTTGTTCTCCATCAGCTGTGTTATATGGATTGAAGCCGAAGGAACCATCGTTTGGAAATCATAAAGAATTTTAAAGAGAGAGAAAAAGATTTCTGTTGAAAAGTTAACTATACCCCACATTGATTTGTGGTGGTACTTTCATTGTATATTTAATGATGATATAATCGGATAATGTACATTTTCCTATTTTATTACACATAATATACACTTTTCTTTTTAGTTGCATTTTCTTCTTAAAAGTAAAGAGCAATAAACTTTTCTATCTTGTTTGAATTTCTTTTCTATTACTCTTAAGCCCCAAATCCAATCATGGAAAAACATAATTTTTCAAGGTTACAATTTGGAAACACCTAGAAAACATGGATATGCTAGAATCATTGTTCACAAAATCGCTCGATCTAACTGCTAACCACCCGGTTAGATTGGAACCAACCAGTGGCCGGTTCTGGTATTGGGTGGTTAGGTTGATCAACTGGTATGTTATATATATATAGATATATATATATTCTCAAAAATAAGGATTTTGATTTATGATGCATTTTTAAATATTTTTTACATTATGGTAAAGATTAAAAATGGTTTTGGTCATTAATACTCATTTTTATATTTTCTCATATTTTTTAGAAAATTTTAAAAATAGCCCTTGAAAAATATAAAATGGGTTAAAATCCATTTTTGTTTCATTAATTTTCAACTGCATTTGAATGTGTTTTGTTTTAATCATTCTTTATATGCTTTTCATATTTTAGCAGATTTTTTTGTAATTTTTTTATTTTTTTTCAACACTTTTTTTGACCACTCGGGACTTGCCCCATTAGAGCGATTGAATCGGTCGGTTTATTAATTAGGCCTGTTATACCGCTTCCAAACCCATGCTCGGTTAACCGTTCCGGTTCAATTTTACGACCACGGCTGGAATGACATAATAGGACAAATACACAAATGGGAAAGTTCAAATCCGGCGAAGGATACGATGGAATCCTAGGAAACAACAAGGCGAGGAATTCTTCGCTTATGATAACAGTGTAGAAATTATAAGAAGAGAAAAAGGGGTCACTGAAATAGACAAATCATTCGACTCTATTCGCCATTTAGTTGTAGCCGTGGAGAAGTGATGTATCAATTTTTTTTTTCTATTTTTTAATTTAGGTTGTTTCATCATTATCAAAGTATTTTTTTTAATTAATTGGATTTAGCTACACGAATCTTGGCCTGTCATTTTGTTTTTATTAAAGATCATACTCTTAATGAGGCTATAAGTCCTGATATTTTTTTCAGACCACCTCTGACCGTGTCTTTTTGGGCGTACCCCTTGTTCTTTTCAATCCTTCCAGTTGTACTGACTCGCACCGCCTAGTAGGTGTTATACTGGGTTGGCGCCACATATGGCCAACCCCTTTAAGTCTAGACTCTCTTATCTTATCTTCCATTGATGCCACACCTAAATTTTTCTGAATGGATTCATTTCGAATTCTATTCATTCTTGTCTTGCTACTCATCCATCTCAACTTCCTCATTTCCGCTACCCGTATTATGTGGGCATATTGCTTTTTATCTGACCAATGTTTCACCCCATAGAGCAAAATTGGTCTCACAACCGTTTTAATTGAAAATGGATTTATGTACTTTATCTACTGGAGGATTGTGAACACAAGGGACATTTCACCCTCCTTCAAAGAGAGAAACATCTGTTCCGATACTACAAAATAAAGAATAATATTAAAAATAAAAAATATTTTTCTTAAAATATAGCTTCTTTTTTAGGTAGGCAAGCCTTTCTACAGGTCACTAGGGACCCGTCTTCCATTAAGGTTTCTTTGGATTACCCATGCTTTTCTTTTCCACGCGACTCTCTGATTAATTCTTTCTATTGCAATTTCTAAGCAGGTCAATGTCTATAATCTTTCTTCCAAATTTCACTAAATCCCTAAACAATACGAAACTGCGTTTCATGGCCGAAGGCGTCCTTGGGGTCACAAATTGACTACATACGCTCTTCTATAAGTGGACACATTAGCTATCCGCTCTCTTGTTGGCTATTCAATAAGTGAAACAACATTAGCTATCTGTCCTTTAGTTGGGCAGTAAGGGTCAGAGATTTCCATTTAGTCATTTCTAAAACCAACAGTTTGAAGACCAAATAATTGGGTGCAAAATGTGAGAGCTTTCCGTTCTTGGTTCTCTTGTAGCTAAGTACTCCAACCCGATTCCAGAATTTCAATTTCATTTAGTTAGGGAATTTTGTCCTAAATTCTATTGAAAAGTGATTGACAAAAGTGTTAAAAATAATAATAATAATAAATAAATAAATAGAGATAATGAGTGTAGGAGGTGTTTCATTAGCTTCTTTGTGTATCGACAAAGCGGGGGTTATATATAAAACTTGGAAAAATCCCAAAAAGGTAAAACATGGCTCTCTTTCTATCTTTGTAAAAGGTCTCTCTCTCTCCCCTCTTCTTCTGAACCCCGTCCCTTCTCTTCCTCTTCATCCGATTCCCACAAAATGGCTATGAGAAACTCATGACCCTGAAAAATACACTGCATCAAAGAGGAAGAAGCGATGCCAAAAAATCCCTAAAGTCCCTATTGATTGCCATGAAATTCAGCCAGAGATGACGCTTTTCCATCATTCTTCGAAGCTCTTTCCGCAACTTTGGACCAATAAAGATGAAATAGGCTTATATAAATATTCCCAAAAAGTAAAAAATAGTTCTCATCACCCAAAGGCCATTTATTAAGATCTTTTCCCTAAACAAAGGCTTATGATATTCTCTTAGCTCCAAAGATGGCTGAGAAAAAGATGTAAAAAAACTAATTATTAAATTAGGTGGAGAATCTAGTCCAAAAAGCTTGGTCATGTCATTTTTGAGCAAGGGAAGAGAAAGTGGATTGGGATGGGAAATTGGTTTTTATGTTTTTAAAGTGAGAGAAAATGGATTTAAGCACATGTGGGAGACACGGACACGGAAGAGAAAGAGAGATGTTGGAAATGGGAAAAGTTATAAAAAATAAAAGATGTTTCAATGGCTCTGATCCCAGGCATGATATATTGCATTCTAAAAACAATATTTTCACTTACTGGTATGAATAAATGTGCATCTATATTTCTATTAGACAAATTTGTCCTTGCAATATATGGGAACGGAGGATTATGAAAACTATTTCGCTAATACAAATACACAAATACTGTAAGATGTAGAACACTAGAATTGCCTATTTATAGATAGAGAAAGTTCGTATAAAACACTTAATTAATTTGCATTTCGCTCGTTATAAAATTCGAGGAAACAAGCCTTATTCATAGAAATATAAAATGCCTTTTTACTAGTAAACGTGAATACATAAGTTAAGAATTAAGTCTCTCAAAATCTCAATAGTCGGTGTGGGCATATGTTGCAACACGAAATCACGGGGTGACTTTTTGTGTCGCGGGAAGGTAGTCGCCTTGCTTCGCATCGTGATCCAAATGTCATATGGTGTCTTTTTCTTATTCTGGTAGACCAACTGACAAGCTTCTTTACTTGTGGAGCATGAATTATTGGATTGCACCAAACTACCGGAGTTCAGAAGTCATGTGTGCATTCACCTTTACCGGTGGGGCAAATTTTATTGGAGTGCACCAAACAACCAGAGCCAATACTATTGGAATGCCTTTCTACCGCCAATCCACCGGAGAACACAATCTACCGAAGGGTTTGACTAGTGGCAGAAAGAAAGGGGAGCCACGTGCCCGATCAGCACACTTGCCTAAGCGTGGCACAATTTATGTGCCGATGCAAGCAAGTACATCATCACCTATGTACATGCTCACATTACACGTGCTCTGCATAGGCCTCTTCTCTTTTTTGATTCTTAAAACATAAATGAAGAGGATAAAATCATATTTAAGCATTGTTTCCCTCATCACATCTTTAATGTGATGTGGGGCAGCTTATGTGCCAATGCAAGCACGTACACCATCGCCCCTAGCATATGCACACATTACATGTGCTCGGCATAGACCTGCACTCTTTTTAGTTGAAGCAATGCTTGCCTCATCGCATATTTAATGTTCGATAAATGACATATTTAATGTTCAACAAAACACACTTTCTAAAATATTAGACTTTTCAAAATACTATGGAATAAACTAATATCATTTTGAAATAACATAAGGTATTTTCCAAGATGCAAGGAGACAATGCGCTAGACAGGCCACATGCCTGGGCACGTCGCCAAAAACGACCATCCTCCTTATTTTATATTTTTTTATTTTTTTTATTTTTGAAATATATTATACTTAAAAGAGTTACTCAGAGTAGCCGAAGTAAATCGCGAGTCCTTGGCCTAAGCCAATGTTTCAAACATTGTTTTACGTTGGTATTGAGTTCAATAGGGCATGAACCCTATAGCAAGCTCTCACAATAGAGAAACTGAACAAGGAAAGAAAAAGGCAATGAACACTTCAGATCTTTGTTTGGATACCAAATGGCCTTTTCTTAGCCAAATGTAGTAAAAAGAAACCACGCCCTCATTCCAACTCCTATTCAACACTGGCAAGCAACTTAATATTTATTAGTGCACACTAAATACATCACCCATACTGCAGTGATAAAATCCATAATACATGTACTGATATTGCTAACTCATAGTGAAAAAGAAAGCACACATGTGAAAGACCAGGAACCCCTCGATTCAATAGATTATGGCATCAAAGAAAAGCAGCTAAGCAAATTATAACTGAGACAGAAAGAGAGGCTTCAATTCGTTGTGATGTCAGACGCCTGCGAATTCCTTGAGGCCACACTCCTTATTTATCTTGTAGAAGTTATAGTAATCATAGTAGTCGAAGGGCTTAAAAAGCTTAGGGTGCTCTTCGTCCACGAGCTCTTTAGGGGCCTCAATCAATACATTTGGATTTGGGATCGAAAATAACCCGCAAGAATATCTGTCTTCATATCCCCTCAGCATCACCCGATGTCGTACTGGATGAAGCCTACCGTTAGTCCATGCCTGAACAGAATTTTCATAAAAAACAGAAGAGAAAATCATTGTGTTTGTTAACTATCATAGATTTTCTAGAAGGAAAAACTAGCTATTCTTCCAAAATAAGGTATGGGTCATTGAAAAGGAACATCTAAAATGAAGAATGATTACAATTATAATTCATGGGACAGATAAATTAATGAAAGTGAACACCTCCAGAGCACGTTTTAATTAAGAAAATCAGAGAAACATGAATAGTTCTATGTAAGTGGTTCATACAAATTGACCTTAAATCTTAATCTAAATCGTCTCTGCCCATCATTGTAGCAACATATCTAACGCTTGGGTGCATGCAAGAGTGGATCGCCATTGTCGAACCATTTGTGTGTTTATATGGTCAATTACATAGGGACTGGATATGGATCACCTTCATGGATGGGGCCATTTCTTTACTATGCTTTTTTTTTTTTTTAACGTAACGTTTTTTTTACATGAAGAACTATAGATACCACCAAGACCATATTTCTAGGTATGCCCACTCTCAATGCTTTTCATTAAAAATATCAATACGTTCCATTTAAAATGTCATTGCTTTTTATTACTCCCAAAACATCACTACTTTATATTTAAATTCTTTTTATAGTTAACTTAATCATTATTTAAAGATATATTTGAAATTTTCACAAAATACGAGTACCTATTCTATTTTAACAATAATTATATATAAACCATTCATTAAAGAGCCATAGATTGCAAAACTTGATCTTTTTTCAAAAAGAAGTACCATAATTTCTAGATCCACTTTTACAACTCATTCTAACCGTAAACTTTGTACTTTCAAAGATTGTAAATTATAAATTATTCCAATACATACAGGTGAGCAAGAGAGGAGAGACAAACCATGAAAGTATCACCTATGGTGATAACAAGAGAGCCTCCCGAGAGCACCACTGGTGCCCAGGACCCATCTTTAAATTGCACCTCCAAACCGCCAACTTGGTCTGGGCAGAGTATCGTCACTATGTTCTTGTCAACGTGACCCTTCAAGCCCTCCACTTGGTGCCCTCCCTCCGGGGCCTTGTACTTCATCATTCGAAAATGGTAATTTGAGGATTTGTCAAGGTCATCGAAGTATTTCTCAGCACCATAACTCTCCAAAACCATTATTTGAATTAGCTTAGCCAACTCTGTTATCTTCATTGTTACGGTCTTCACTGTCTCACTATGGCCAACCAAACCAACCAACGTTACAAGATTAAAGAAGAAGAAGAAATCTATGACAAATAGATTATTTAAAAGTATATTCAAATACTTAATATTTCAAATATATATATATATATATATAAAAGTTCCTAATCTTCTCAAGAGTTATGAAAATCATATAGAACTTAATTCCAATTAATACAATGGTGTTTTCCAATATTTTTTATTTTTTATTCTTTATATTTTTTAACTTTATTTTTATGTTTTTTTTATGCTTTTTTAAAGCTGTGCCAAGTTGCCTTAGCCAAAGCCAAGTTACTTGCCGAGTCCACCCCTAAAACGCATATTAGGAATGTATGAGTACCATGAAATTAGAGAGAGATTTGGAATGCCTGAGTACCATGGACTTAGAGAGAGAGAGGGGGGGAGGGTGAAAGAAATTACCTCGTGTGAGAGATTATTTTTGTGCGATTGTGTGTGCATGTAGGCAGAGAGAGAGAGAGAGAGAGGTCATGGTAGTTCCTAATCGAAGTAAGGTGGGTTATTTCTACATAAAATCTTCTTAAAATTTCAGTTTCTTAGAATTTGAAATAGAAGTATAATGAAGAATGATTGTTTCGACTACTCATTAGTGGACATACAAAATGTTTGGCAGCCCGTTTGAGCATTTATGGTACCCCAATAATTAAGTACGACCTCCACTGATGTACATGTAAGTTGTGTGAGAAAATATTTAATTTCTCTGTAATTATGAAGCCCAAGCCAACATGATAACTGTATTATACAACTCACAAGATGTTTGTACCAGAGCCGTATTCTTATATAAAAGCCCTATTTTTATATGGTTAGAAGACGGATTGTACAACCTGCATACAAGTTTATAGATCTTTTCAAAAAAAAAAAGACTTTACAAAGTCATTAATATATAATTGTATAGGTTGGGAAAAAGTAGCTGGAGTTAATAAAATATTGTACATGTTCACACTGCCACTCAAAAAGTTTGGACAAGAACTTTTAGAATCGGATTGGTGGGATCTTCAGGTGCACAACTTCAGATTTAATGATTAACAAGCACAATAAGATCTTAAATTTGGAGCTCAAATTGGTAAAATCCAATACAGAATCCAACGATGACAGATTAGTAGGCCTCAGGATAGAGACCTAGAACATAGCAACTCAAGCAATAACAAACCATAAAGGCGTTAGCAAGAGTCAAAAACTTCATAGTCAAAGAAAGAAAAACAATCTAAGACAACCAAAAGAACATATTGGCACTTGAAAGAACCAACTTAACTCATTTGTGATGGTGCAAATCCAAGATTGATTTAGTAGCAAGAACATAAGATCGAGTAAAAGAATAAAACATATAGGATCGAGTAACAAAACAACATGCTCGATAACATATAAAGGAAAAAAGAATTCAGAATTTTCTTTTGGGGTGGGCAATCGAACTAAGTCCTACCGTTGAATGATCATAGAAACATAAGGGACCACGAAAAAAACACAATGGAACACCAAGACCCCACCGGTCCCCTCTTCCCTTAACATACGTGTCTTTTTTCAAATATGAGGGACCCTTTACTTTCTACATTCTAGTGAGGAAAGAAAGGGCAACAAAGATGTTGACTGCATCCAAGAGACGGAAACAAATATAAAGGAAGGGAAACAAAGATATTGACTTCATACAAGAAAGGGAAACAAATATAGTATGATAAGGCCCCCCACTAAGATGTCTATAATGGCGACGGAGAAAGAAAACAAATAATAATGAGACGGACAAACAGAGCAGCACAAGGAAGAAATAGATGCTAAGATCAAGGACATAAAAACAGAGATAAAAGGAGATTCAGATCTTAGCTCAAAACGAGGAGCATGGAATGAAAACCTCGAAAGAAAGGCGAACAAAAGGGGAAGCTAGAAGCTATGATCAAGTAAAGAAAAACATAGACCCAGGGAGCACAATCTGGAAACTCCTCTGATCCGAGGCAAAAAAAAGGCAGATCGAACGCAAACAAAGCATATCTGAGGCAAACAATGCACTTGGAGGCGATTCAGATTGCCTCCGAAGCAAATAAGAGAGATCTCCCAAACAAGAATACCGGATGTTGATGGCTGTGAGGGTGATCAAATGCTCTAGATAATAGGTGGATTAAAAGATAAATTTCTTTTCATACCTTACAAAAACCCAACTTTTAAGTTAAGAAAATTGTGGAAATGGGTGATGGTGTGAATGAACTTACTTGAACTTGGTATTTCCTTGGGGCCACATAAGGTCGGTAAACCGCTCAATGTTCTCCGGCAGGGCTGCATGATCGATGCCAGTGACCTCAAAGAAAGGAGCCTCTGGTACAGGCGCCCTATATCCATGGTACTTGAACTCGGATCGGTTATTCATCTTCGTTTCTTGGGGAATTTCAAAGAGCTCCTTCATAGCAGAGAACATTTCCTTCTGCAGAGATTCAGGGACCGCAGTATTGTAGATGGCCGCGAAACACCCTGGGCTTTCCAGAGCTTCTCGCACTTCTTGTGTCAGGGCTTTCCATCTCTCAGCTCCAGGCTTCAAGTCTCCTGAGAAATCAAGGACTGGTACTTTCATTACACTTTGAGAACCCATGTTTGTCAGCTCGAATATGTGTTACAACTTCTGCAAAATAAATACAAACACCTCGACACACTGGGGACCGAACCTCAGATTTTATATTTGATGATTACACAGTCGAGACTGAATCTCATAAAAAATTACATTTTATACTCAAAGATTACACAATGGGGAGACAACCTCATAATAAACTCATATTTTGTACTAAATAATTACATACTAATTTAATACTCTCTTTTCTTCAATTATTATATTCAAAAGATTACACAACTGTGGAGACAACCTCATAATAAACTCATATTTTGTACTAAATAATTACATACTAATTAATACTCATTTCATACTCTCTTTGTTCAATTATTACACTCTCTACCCACTACATACACTCTCCTTCTTTACACTTTTACCCCTCACGTTACCCGCTCTTTTATTTTTTGGTAAATACGTCCTCCACTCAGTTTTCCACTTTCTTTTTTGGTAAATATTTCCCCCACTCACTTTTCCACACTTTTTTTTTTTTGGGGTAAATACTTCTCCCACTCAGTTTTCTACTCTTTTTTTTTTTTGGTAAATGCTTCCCCACCCACTTGTCCACATAATAATAATAATAATAATAATAATAATAATTTTATTATTATTATTATTATTATGTTGGTAAAAACTTCTCCCACCCACTTTTTCACTTTTTACTTTTTTGGTACGTTATGTAGAGTGCCCCTTCAAATAGTATCGAGAAATGTAGTTTCAATAGTGAAAATTTTTGTGATAGCTTTAAAATATATTTTCATCTTTAATTATAAAATTTTAAGCTTAAAACATAGTGTAAATCAAGTAGATCTACAAAAATCTTGAAAATTGACAGTTCGAAAATGAATTACAAGATGTACTATTTCTAAAAATTGAAATCTATTTTTTCTCATGTTCATACTTATTGATGTTGAGATGATCAATTTGAGGATATCTAGATATCAAAACAACCTCTTCTAGCAAAATTTTTGAGACACCCTTTAATTTGGTTGTTTCGAACTTTGGCTCTATAAAACTTTTCCCTTTTTTATTTTTTTTTTTTGGTGAATACGTCCCCACACTTTCCTCATCTACCTAGTCTCTCTATCTCTCTCTACAGCATTGTACTTTCTATTTTCACGGCACCCACGTCACTCCCTCACTTTTTCCCTAAACCACCCAAACACCTCCCATGCTCTCTATACAGCATTGTACTTTCTATTTTCACGGCACCCACGTCACTCCCTCACTTTTTCCCTAAACCACCCAAACACCTCCCATGCGCCTATGTTTACTTCCTCACTCTATGCGCAAGCCCTCACCAACCCCAAAAATCAGCCGATCTAAACGTTAACCGCTCGATTATATCGGAATCAGCCAGTAGCCGGTTATGATTTTGGCTGCTTTTAGTGATCAATTGGTATTTTAAACATTAAATAGAATATTACTTCAAATATTAGAATTGTTTATTGGTTAGTTTTGATGTTTAAGTTTCACATGAATTATGTTTGAATCATGTTGCCAATGGCCAAAACAACTACTTTTTTTTTAAGAATCCTTTCTTGTTCGGTCAAAAAAATTACCTTTTCTTTTAAGAATCTATTTCATTGGTTAAAAAAAATTACTTTCTTTTAAGAATCCATTTCGCTGGTTCAAAAAAATTACCTACCCATGGAATTGAACTTGAGACAAAAATTACCTACCCACCAGAATCGAACTCAAAACATTTTATAAAGAAGTCTTTTATTATTAGACCCAGTAACCAATACAACATTTACTACAAGATTGGCAAAAAGAAGGGCTTATATAT